CTGTGGAAGGCAGCTGTGCTGGCAGGGGACAGCCAGTGCCCCGGTCACCTTTTTATCCCAGCATTTCAAGACCTTTTTCCTCCCTTTGTGACGCAGTTTGGCTCCATTACCCTGGCCTTGGCCCCTGGCCATGTCCCGGGGTCTGAAGTTATGGATTCAACAGCCGGAGAAATCAGCCTGGTGGGATGTGGCGTGGGAGGACTCTTGGCCCAGCTCCATGGTGTAGGCAGAGCACGAGGATTTCTTTCCCAGCGTCCCACCAGGAGCCCGATGCGGGGACCTGTTCTGGCAGGCTTTGCCCTGTTCTCCAGCTCCCTGCCCAGCCACTAGGGAACCTCTCTTGGTGACAATAAGCCCCCCAAAATCCAGGTAACACCCTAGAGAGCAAAGGGGCAATGCTGGGATACAAAGAGCCTCCCGAATGGGAGCATCCTGACAAACAGCCTGGGCTCAGCCTCCAGCCCCAGCTCAGCCCCTCCCAGCCCCTGTGAGCCTCCAGACAGCCAGGTGTCCCTTTCCCCATCCCATCCAGCCGCTGGCTCTTTCCCAGCTGGGGTGACAACCCAGGGAGCCAGGAGCCATCCCCGAGTTTGGCATCCCACAGCCCCATGTGCCCCCCCTCCTAGCCCTCCCTGTGCTGTGCTGGCTGCCAGTGGGGAGAAGGGAGCAGCCAAAAATAACCCCAGACGACCAACATGGCTATTTTGCTTATTATTTCAGTTTTCAATCTCCCGGTGAGGTGACTTGCTTAGGCTAATAATTGCTTCAGCTGGATTTTATCTGGGTAATTAATCAGTTAATAAATGACTTTGCTGCAGGGGGACAGACGCTGAGGCTGTCTCCTTAGCTTGGGACTGGAAAAAAACAGGGAAGGAGCACAGCCCACGGGATTTCCACGGCCCCACAGTGAGGAGAGCTGCCCTGGAAGTGCTGGGGTGTCCTGGGGCAGTGAGGACTAAGGTGGGGACCCCCAGCCTGTCGGAACGCAGAGCCATCCTTGGGAACGTCTGCAGCAGCTCCTGACAGGGGGGGACAGCGCTGAGCCCATCGCTCCCCTGCAAAGCTTTCGGGACTCGGCCGGTTTCCCTCTGCTAGACAGAGAAGCTGAAAACTGAGGAAGGCAACTTGGAAAATCAGAAGTCACCATCTTTGCCACGGAAAACGTAGGATTTCTCTTGACTGCCCGGCCTGTGGTGGCAGGGGTGTGCTCCTCTGCCAGTGCTACCGCAGGCAAGGCAGGGAGAGCTGGTGCTGCCACTGCCCCAGAACCAGGCTCAGGTGGGAGGGGGGTGGATTCCTTTCCTGTCTCCTTCCCAGAGCCACCTCAGGCTCCATTTTGGCCCATCCTGGATGTAAAGCAGCTGTGCAGCTTCTCTTGAAGACCTCAAGAACTGCAGCTTCCCCAGGTTGCAAGCTTCAGAGGTCACCAGTGCTGAGTCCCTCAGTACTGTGGGCTCCAGGTCTCCTGTCTTTCATCCACTGGTCCCCAGGGTGGCTTTTGTGGCTGAACCAGCTCAGTCCCAGCTGTAGAACCCTAGCTGTGCAGAGTAACCTCCTCCCAGCTCCTCAGCAGTACTTTTGGGGTCCCACTTTGGGAGGCAGGACTGGTGCAGCTTGGTGAGAGGGCTTGGGCTCTACAGACAAGCTGTAGGAAGGGACAGGAGCACCTTGGCCCATGGGGGACACTGTGGTTCCTCTGGGGATGTGCAGTGAAGGGCAGGGGGTCCCTAGTTCAAGGGGAGTTGTACAGGTTACCCTAAGGGCTGCAGCACCATGGACTAGGGAGATGGGAGTGGAAGGCTTGCCCAGTTCACAGGGGTCCTGGCTGGGTGAGGAGCAGTGGTCAGATCCTCCTTTTTTCTCGCCACTTCAGCACCAATCCAGCACATGGGAATGCTGTCTGCAGGTCCTCACGGAGCTGGGAGGAGAGAACAGCCATCAAACCATGTCCAAGAGGTTCTTCCACCTCTACTCTCCACATAGGAAGGACCTGAACCTCAACTACAGCAGCTAAAGGAGGGTCTCCCCTTCTTCTGAAAGGGCTCAGGGTGACACTCAATGTGAGACCCAGCAATTCCCCTCCCACTGGCTGCTGGACCCTCTCCCTCACTGGCTGGACCATGGCTGGTGGATGCAAAGTGGCACCGCCCTCCCATCACACCTCACCTTGGACAACACCAGCTCCTGCACTGTGGCATTCCCCAGGTCCAGAGGAACTGTCAGCCGCAGTGACAGAAAGAGGTGAGATGCACCTAGAGACAAAAAATGTGGCTCTGATTATTGTTCTAGGACCCTGGGGCTGTGCCAAAGGACCTGGAGGTCTCTCCCCAGGCCCACTGGCACAGGACATCCCCTCAGGCTAATCATGTCATGGACACACTGTGGTGTCAGGAGAACAGCCATCCACCTGTAGAGCAACTGTATGTCCCACAGAGCATCAATGCTCTCATATTGAGAGCACAGCAAAAGCAGTGGGGCTCCAGATACCCACCCCCTCACCCCCCCCACTGCCCCTGGAAGCCCAGTTTGGGGTGGGGAGGGCTGGTGATGATGCACTTACTGATGTTGGTTGGGGGGGTGGTGCAGATACACGTTGTTGTCTCTGAGGTCTGGGATGAGTCTGTGGTCAGGGAAGAGGCCTCTGTGCCTGTGCAAAGCAACATAACATTAGAACTGCCTGAGAGGGGTGCAGGGTGCTCCTGCAGCTGGGGACAGACCGAACCTAAATGCAGCCACCTAACATGAAGCCACCTGAGTATGTGCCCAGCATCCCCCAAGGATTTGTCACTCTGCCCAGTGGGCACTGTGCCACTGCCCTCACCTGTGGTCGTACTGGGGCTCTCAGGTGCTGTTGAGGTGTCTGGGGTCGGGTCCACAGTGAAGATGTCAGGGGTGCTTCCAGGGACCTCCGTGCTGGTATCAGGGTCATCTGTGGTGTTGTATGGGGTGACTGAGGGTTCTGCTGAAGGGGCGGTTGGTGCTGGTGCACTGGGAGATGAGGCACTGTCTGTCACTGGAGACATGCTGGACTCCTCCTGGGTAGAGGCTTCTGTTTCAGGCTCAGATGGAGAGATGGTGGCTGTGGTGGTGGGCAGCAGCTCTGAGGTTTCCAGAGGCGTCACAGAGGTAGGGAGAGTTGGGGACATGGTTGCTGTCACATCTGTGACACTGGTCTCTGCCACATCTGTGACAGTGGTGTCTGCAAAAAGAGAGAGTGAGATGCACAAGGGCTGGCTGTGACAGGCTGAGGCCATGGCTGTGCCAGGAACAGTGCAACACCAACAACACCATGAGCCCTCTGAGGGACCCAGAGCAACACATCAGCCATGGAGCATCAGCAGTGGGGATGCACTGTCCTGTATGGATTAAGTAAGCATGGGGATGCACCAAATGGGCATCAGGAAGGCAGGGCACGTAGATCCCCCAGCCTGAGAAAGCAGAAACAAGCCATGGGCATCACCAGTCTCAGGGCAGAAACTCTGGTAGGCGCCAACACTGAGACCCATTCCACCACCTTCACCCATCCCTGCAGGAAGTCAGACAAACCAGTCGGACGGGAAGAGCTGTGCAGGAACTGGTGACCGTGAGACAGTCTGGAACTGCAGCAGCAGCAGTTTACACAAACCTCTCTGCTGCAGATAGTCAGGAACTGATAGCGCTGGGAGTAAATAATGGCAATGGGGAACCAGCCCCACCGAGGGGGGGCACAGAGGAACAAAGCCCAGCCTGCAGCTCGGGGTGAGTTGTTAGAGCCGTGCAGTGACCCATGAAAGCTCTGCAGGGGGGGTTGAGGGATGCAGGAGGGTCAGAGCTGGTGGTTATGTCTCAGTTCAGTCCTGGGGGGCAGGCAGCCAAGGCAAGGAGCCCAGCAGGAACCCACTCAGCAAGGGCTCCCAGGGCCTGGAGCACAGTGCTGCAGCTGGGGATCACGTCCTCTCTGCCTGCAGGGACCCTGCACTAGGGCAGCCTGCTGTCTCTAGGGAATCTCTGGGCACTCAAAACCCCCTCCAAAAGGACACTCAAGCCGGCCTGGCTGCCACAGCCTCCATCGAGGCGTGTCTGTGAGGCAGACAGATTGAGATGCAAGGCGGGATTCCCCGATGGTGTTGTCCAAGCACAAACCAGGCAGCAGGTGGTTAAATAATAATGTGCAGAAGGACAAAGGTCTGATGCTGGTCTGTGCCTGTCTGCTCTGAAGGGCCTCATCCTCACACAAAACAGGAGCTGTAAATCCACCTCTTTTTCCCATTTAGCAGACAACACCAGCAGCATTTGACCCCTGCACCCCCCAGGTGCCTGTTTCAGGCAAGACACCCCACTGCCCCAGGGAATGATGCTCCCTACTCCCATCACATCCCACTCAGCCCTTACCCGTCGCGAGGTCTGGCATGGTGAGGCCGGTGAGGCTCAGCAGCAGCAGGGGCAGCCCCCCTCTCCACCCAGCCATGTCCAAGCAGGCAGGAGCTGATGCCCTCCCCACTGGCACTTCTCTGAGTGCTCCCCACAGTCCCAGCACTGAGGTTTCCGGGTTTCCTTTGCCTGGCAGAGAAAGACCATCCAGGTGTGTCCTTTCACTCCCCAGGTGCTGGCAGTGAAGTTTCCACCCAACACGGGCACGCCCAGGGACAGGCACGGTGCCGAGGGGACATCAGCTGCACGGCTGGACCCAGAAGCAGCCACAAGCAGTGGGCACAGAAGACCACGGCAGACCAGGTTCCTGCAGCTAGGGGACTGTGCTGAGGAGACGGTGACAACGGAAGAACGCCCAGGGATGATGTTCGATGGTGGGTCCCGACACCAAGGCCCTCGGAGACGGCAGCCCGCTCTGCCTGAGCACAAGGAACAAGCTGAGAGAACAGGCGTCGCTCAGGAAGGGCGTGCTGCAGGCTGAGGGTTTGTCCCCTGAGCTGTCTGTACAGGCATCACTTCCCTGTGTCACTGCATGTCACAGCCGAAGTGCGCCACTGACAGACGGGTCTGCTTCCTTTTCCTTGGGGTCAGGGACAAGAGCAGCCGAAGGTGCCTGCAGGCACTGGGCCAGGGTACAGGCGCTCCACGGGTGGGCAGGCATGGTGGAGGGCTGCCAGGGCACAGCCGCCCTGCTGCTGTATGGGTACACTGGGCACTGCTGGGCACAGGCCCACTGAGGGCAACACCAGGGTGCAGGCACTGCTGGGGTGCTCCCACACTGTAGGCAGCAGGTCAGGGTACAGGTACTCTGCCAGGACACAGATGCTCTACTGGGCTACAGGGACACTGGAGGTATGTGCATGGCAGGGGCAGTGGGGCAGGGTACAGTCTCCCTGCCTGGTTCAGGTGCATGAAAGGGGGTGTCACCCAGGTACAGCTGCAGCCCTGGCATACAGGCTCCTGGGAGAGCCACCAGCATACAGTTACACTGCTGGGACACAGCTGCCCAGGCAGGGGTGCTGCCAGGATATGGTTGCCTGGGGGGTCTGCCAGGGTATAGCCACACTCCTGGGATATGGCCAGAGCACCAGGGTACAGCCACACTGATGCTGGGTACAGCCGCACTGCCGGGTACAGGCGCACTGCTGGGTACAGGTGTACAGCAGATGCCCTGCCCCACGGGACACACCTCAGCACAGGCCCCGCAGGTCACAGCGGTGGCTGTGGTGTCTGACAGGGTCATCAAGGGCTCGTCTGGGAAGTGCTGCCAAGCAGCTGACACGATGGGCCCTTGGACGGTGCTGGTGAGGCGGGTGGTGCCCATCCAGACTGGGGGAGAAGGGCAGAGGTGGGAGGAGGCAACATGCTCTTTTCAACTCCAAACGAGGTGACAGCCAGGGCCAAGGTGGTTCCCACTGACATGATGGTCATTGTCAGGTCATGACCATGGGGGTTGAAGTTGGGGTGCCAGTGGTGAGCCGAAGCCCTGTTGAAAAGGGGTTCACTGTGGTGCTGGCAGGTGACCCAGGGATGCTGTCAGCCTTGCTGTCCCTCAGCTGCAGTGTGCTGATGCTGGAGGCTGCTGGGCTGCTCCCCCCAGGCATGCCAGTGCTGGCTTTGAAGGCATCTGACAGCATCTCTGGGATGGAGTTTTCAGGCCTGGGGGGAGGCACAGTGGCTGCGGTGGTGGGCAGCAGCATCATGGTCTCTGTGGGTGTCAAGGAGGTAGGGAGAGTCGGGGACACAGTGACTTTTGTGAGGTTAGTCCCTGCAAAGAGATGAGAGAATGAGGCATGTAAAGGCTGGCTGTGACAGGCTGAGGCCATGGCTGTGCCAGGAACAGTGCAACACCAACAACACCATGAGCCCTCTGAGGGACCCAGAGCAACACATCAGCCATGGAGCATCAGCAGTGGGGATGCACTGTCCTGTATGGATTAAGTAAGCATGGGGATGCACCAAATGGGCATCAGGAAGGCAGGGCACGTAGATCCCCCAGCCTGAGAAAGCAGAAACAAGCCATGGGCATCACCAGTCTCAGGGCAGAAACTCTGGTAGGCGCCAACACTGAGACCCATTCCACCACCTTCACCCATCCCTGCAGGAAGTCAGACAAACCAGTCGGACGGGAAGAGCTGTGCAGGAACTGGTGACCGTGAGACAGTCTGGAACTGCAGCAGCAGCAGTTTACACAAACCTCTCTGCTGCAGATAGTCAGGAACTGATAGCGCTGGGAGTAAATAATGGCAATGGGGAACCAGCCCCACCGAGGGGGGGCACAGAGGAACAAAGCCCAGCCTGCAGCTCGGGGTGAGTTGTTAGAGCCGTGCAGTGACCCATGAAAGCTCTGCAGGGGGGGTTGAGGGATGCAGGAGGGTCAGAGCTGGTGGTTATGTCTCAGTTCAGTCCTGGGGGGCAGGCAGCCAAGGCAAGGAGCCCAGCAGGAACCCACTCAGCAAGGGCTCCCAGGGCCTGGAGCACAGTGCTGCAGCTGGGGATCACGTCCTCTCTGCCTGCAGGGACCCTGCACTAGGGCAGCCTGCTGTCTCTAGGGAATCTCTGGGCACTCAAAACCCCCTCCAAAAGGACACTCAAGCCGGCCTGGCTGCCACAGCCTCCATCGAGGCGTGGCTGGTAGGCAGAGCGAATTGAGTGTAAAGTC